AGATAAAATGGGTACTATTTTTGTTTATAATTCAAGTTTTTAGATATTTCAGTATCGCTGTCGATAACCACGTTCGTATCACTAACCTTCGCTAACCAACAACTTCTTTCGGCCGGGGTTTCGTCAGGATGATGCTACGGAGCAGAAATAATAACAGCGCAAACATCATCAATAATCAGAAACCAGGTACTTTTACAAATTACCTCGCCTATCTTTTGGCAAGCGGTAGGGCTTGAGTCTGAAAAATCACATTAGGTAGTGAAGGGAAACAGAAATTAAAGCAAAGGTGCCTGGACTCAGGAGATCAAAAGTTATCTCCTAACTTCTTCGTTATCCAGGAACTGCACTGTTCAGTTCACCCATGTGAGCCAACGTCTGGGTTGCGGCAGTCATTCCTCTTTAGCAAATATAAAATTTGAATGAGAAATTCAAATTACTATAGAAATCGTTGCACATGAAGTATTCGGAGTTCGCGCCACTTTCAAACTGGTTGTTTCCCTGCAATGTCTTCCTTCATTGTAAAAGTCGCATGAGAGGAAGCGGCTTAGAAAAGGGGAGTTCATTTCAGATTTTCTCTTTTACCGAGGTGGAGTTGTTACTTGTACTGAGTGGTAGCTAAATTACTGTGACAGCTGTTATACAAGGTTATGGGCTTTATTATGGGAGCGTTACTTCATACATGGGTCACTTGAGAGTTTGATAGCTTCAGATATTCAAGAGTTCATTTCACTCATTCAAAAGATTGTATATGGCTCGGACCTAACCTTACTGCTTCATAAATGAGGGTTCTTCATAAATAGAAGTGAAACCTTGACATGTCCCGAAGGAGGAGCATTTGCACCGAATGCTGGCCTGTTGTCAGGAGTGCAAAGCTGTTTGCCGCTTGCAAGCGGATGCACGGGTGGTGATCAGAACTGCAGTTTCATTGGCTTGATAGACATTTCAAACCCACCCTCTAAACATTGGCTATTTCATGGAGAGTACTCTGATAGTAATTGCAGGCAATACCTAGAGTGATATTTGTGCTACTTCATTGTTACTGTAAGCGCCATTAATTTGTTCGAACATTTCAATTTCAGGAGAGGTAAAACGTGGCAGAAAACAGACGATTCAAGCTGATGACAACAAATTTGAGCCGAAACCAAAGCGGCCTGTATTTGCCGACCTCAGCCGGGTTGGTAGCTATTGTGCTCGTTTTATTATTACTATGTCGATGGGCTGTGATTGTTAGGTAAGAGAGGGAATGGAAAAGGTTTTTTTTCAAGGGAGTTTTGCAAATCAATCAACTACTTTTTTTCGAACCCCTAAGGTTTAAGGGGTTAGCGGTGATCGTTAGGAGGTGGGGTTAAATTCGCGTTTCTGTTATGGATAGAAATGTTCATTGGAGGTAGAATGCGAAAATGCTGATACATTCTTGCGAATTGTACCTGTTTATTCGTCGGATAGCACTGAAAAGTGATTCCTTCAGAAAGTTTCCAAAGTTTTTTTTCTTGAAAGTCTTATTGTTACATTCAGTCTCAATCGACCTCGTCGATCCCAGTCGTTTCACTTTAAAATTTTAGGATTATGTCGATCCGTTTTAGGCCATTTCCAACGTTGTGATAGATTCTTCCAAAAAACTTCACTTAACAAAGGATAATCGTAGAAATACTCGTCGTTCGAAGAGTCATTCTGAGTCCTCCCTCGTCTCTATTAGAGAGGATAGTGAGAGGTACATGCTTTTCTCATTAATTGGATCATAAGTTGTTCAAACCATTCCTTTCTATCAACCCTCTAGTATCTCGAGCTTTCAGCGAAGAACTAAATCTTGCGGTTGAACCGGACCCATGTCCTGCTTATGACTACGACGCAGAAAGTGGTCCTGATATCGCAAACGTTTCTGAGTTTGCCTTCGACATCTTCAAGTACTACAAGTCCCGCGAGGTTTGATATTCGGGCATAAAGTTAAAGTTTGAAGTTCTTGGCGTTAATCAATCCCGTCTGTGGTATGCACCCCCGCACTCGACTTCCATTCAGAATCGTAGTGGCGTAATGGGTGCGTATGTGGCCTATCAATGATTTGTGGTGGCTAACCGATGTACAAGTCAGTGCTTTTATCCTCCCAGACGAGTCTGGTACCAAATCACCGACCCCGAAGGGATGGCAGGCTTGGTTGGCTTAGGCGGGCATCGACATACACCGGATTTTTCTTACTTCTGATTGCTCGATCGAAATATCCAATGTTTTTATTGGCATCAACAGTCAGAGCCAAACAACGTTGATGTAAATGTTTGTTAGGATAGGCATTAATCGGTGGACTTTTATGCACTTCATGTTTTTCTTACGTCAATTCCTCACTGTTATAGTTGAGAAATTTTAGTCAGTAGTAATAATCTGAATTCGATAATGCAATTTCATTGCAGAAGCTGTTCCATGTTGGCGACTATCTTCCTCAGCATCCACAGCTGAGTAAGCAAACTCGTGCAGTTGTTGCTGATTGGATGGTAGAGGTACATAATCTGATTCTTTTCATTTGCTTGTTTGTTGCCACTTTTTATCAGGCCACTTGCAGATACAAGAGACTTTCGAACTCAATCATGAAACACTTTACATGGCGGTAAAAATACTTGACCTATATCTTTCGAAAACTCAAGGAGTGCAGAAGGATGATTTGCAAGTTTTGGCCAGCGCGGCTTTCTTCATCGCGAGTAAATTTGAGGTTGTCACGGTTTCCCTCTTTTAAGTGGCTTATTAAGCAACGACTAATTGTAATTTTGAAAACGCCATATTCAGGAGCGCAGTCCTCCTCTCATTGATGACTTTATGTACGTCTGTGATGAACAGTTCGATCGTCCGCAGATGATTCAGGCGGAAATGAAAGTACTCGACACAGTTAACTATGACATAGGATTTCCTCTCAGCTACCGATATGTCAGACGATATGCCAGAGTACGTGGATCGAGTATTTTTTAAAATTTTTTAAAACGATCATGTATACAAGAGGATTAGTTTCATGAGGTGCGACAACTGTGATGCCCTCACAGGACTTGGATACAATTTTTATCTCAATCCGTCCTGCGGGGGAACTCGGCTTCTAGTGTAGATGAGGCATATGCTCACGGGAATTTCTTTTCGCGCAGCTAAGTCTTGGGATTTTGAGGAATGCTGCTTAGACGCTTCCAGCATCCTACGGGTACCACAGCTTCGGAAAAGGTTGTTTGGCTACTCTTTCTCCAACGCACTAGATGTTTTGATGCATAAATCGATCAAGAAATATTTTAAATATCGACAATAAAGGCTCAGTGACGTAGCAAGTATATCATTTCATGTTGAAAACTCCCTTCTCTACCTAGTGGCACATTTGAAGGTGACCAAGACCGATATGCCGAAGCTAACGTTAGCGCGTTACGTTCTCGAGACTTCTCTGATGTTCTACGAATTCATTGGTGTATCGGAGTCATTAATGGCGGCTGCTGCTATACTTCTGGCTTTCAAGATGCACGACAAGGAAGCGACATGGTTGGTGACAGAGTAATACATGAGCAGCCTTTCACGTACAATTTTAAAATGATGATTCCTTTTAGGTCTCCCATTCTACAAAAGTACTCAGGCTATAAGCAAGAGGATGTTGAACCTCTTATGTGGGAGTTGAATCACATGCTCCACAAGCGTCGCATCATGTACGAGCGTTTGGAAACTGTGTTCTCAAAGTACAGCCATGAGTGAGTCCCTTCTTCTTCGAAAAGACAGGAAAAACAAAGACATTATCCACACTAATGTTTTGAACAATTTAGAGTGTTCTTCTGTGTCGCGTCTATTCCTCTACTACCAAGCATATTCCCTATGGACAGAGCAGTACAAGCTCCCGATGTTGGCTCGTCTTCCCTCTAGTTGTCCTCCTGGTCTATATGAAATCTATTTCATAATCATGTAATATTAGCGATTGCCATGTATTGCGACTAGCTATATTGTTTATTTAGCACTTATAGCAATTTAGGACAGAGTCCTTCACTTTATCTAATCCATTGCGCTTTCGTGGTTCCTCTCAATCTATGGTTTTTAGGTATAACCTCTCTATATACATTTTTACGTTCATCCATTCTTCATATGTAATCCACTCCGTTGCCAGATCTTCGCAAAATACTCATGAGATGGAATTTGGCGCTATCCAAAGGAAGTATTCAAATCCTTAATTTACTTAAGTTAATGCGGGAACACTTATTATTGTCGTGGTATCATCACTGACCTCCGTCCACATCTGCCAATTTGCTCTATACACATGGTTTCTTTGAAGTCCACTAATTATTCGTATTGAATAAAATCAAGCCTATTGTTCGAGTTCCATCATTAATCGTTGTTCCATTGTCGATTGAGCGTTTCTAAACCTTGTGTTCTGGCCAATAAAGGTTCGAAGGCGTTTTTGCAGAACTAAAATCTTGACTATGAGGTCCGTATACGGAACCATTCATACTGTCAAAGATACTGTGAATTGATCAATTTTGAGCTTAATGACTTCGGAGAATGTGAATACGATGCATCGCAATTTGGACGAGAACGGTTTTTGCGATTTTCTGTTATCAAACCATCGTCTGGCTGATTGTCTGTACCAATGTCGCGGCGACTCTCCGCATCCTTCCACTGGGAATTCAAATTTTTCCCTTCACAATGTGCGTTCTATTGCGGCGAGCACGACACGTCGTTCGGGGAGAAGGTAGAGACCCTATCACCAAAGTGAAGAAATGTTGTAATGGAGAGTATTGTTGTTGTTCGTGGCGGACCACTACGCTGTAGTGCATCCAGCTCGCTGGTACCTTTTGAAAGGTGGGAACCGGATTGAGCTGCTCATTAACGTCAGGGTTTCTCATTCTAATACAGCTTGCCTGCTGTCCTTTTCCATCTGCTCAGAAGGAATCGTTATGAATTGAACAGAAAAGAGTCCGAAGACAGTGGACACTCTGCGAAGCACAATCTTGGATGCGTTCTGTCGCGGAAGCTTGATCTTAAGTATATTGTTGGTCTTAAGTTGAGAATTTTTACTTGCTGAAGTCAGTCTTGCTTTAGCAGTCGCATATGAGGGTCTCTTTTCAATATTGGAATGAAGCTGATTTGACGGCAAAGACTTAATATAGTTGGTTTCTACTCAAATTACTGCTCGATAGTACTATTTGAATGTGCATGTGTCCATTTTACTTATGTGATTGGCTGGAGTTCAAGTTACGAAGGTTTTCGAACTAATTTGAAAGAACCCAATGATTAACCTTGGAGTGACTGAACGCACAGTCAGCCTGAGCGCGATCCGATCCTTGGATCTCTGTAGTAGTCGCTGCGAAACATGCCACTGCACCGCTCCGCCTCGATATGAACATTGTTTACAAGGACTCTGAGTCCTTTGAAACGTTCCGGACTATGGCACAAGGTAGCTTTTGTGCTACAGTCTATGACTTCGAACTGTTCTCAATGTTGGGATATATCCTCCTACCTCAATTGTTCCCAGGTTTGAAGTATTGTTGCTTTTGCATTTTTTTGAAAGGGTAATTACAGAATACTCGCTAGGACTGCATTTGCGCTCCTCGTTTGGCATATAGGCTGTAATGCAAGGTGGGATAATGCAGCCAAACAAGCTAGCAAAAGCGTCAAAACGAAATGAAACGGTAAGGCCGTCGAAGGTTGTGCACCTCCTGCGTCGTTTTGCCACGCCCATTTTGCTAAGTACCGCCGCTTTGCAAATCGGCACAATGCTTGTCATTATTACCCTGCTTTTTGAAGTTGCTTGTAGATCTACCAAGATAATTAGAAGGTGAAAGAGTTTCCGAAATATCGGATAGAGTAGTTGGTTAATTTGCTTGAGCTGCATTTATGCCACTGTTTAGCCTTTCAATTTAGTGGTTATCGGTTCGCTTAACTTTATTTTGAAATTATCGGCTTTCACCTTTTGAAATTTATTATCGAAGAAGTGGTGGGTTGTTTGAATAGTCGCGAATTTTCAAACATTTCTTGTTCTCTTCAATAGGACTTTTACCGTTTTGCACCCTTGGCGTGTACTTCATTACTTACTTCAGCTTCACTTTGCGGTTGTATCATGCTGATCCGATTTCAGTGCTCATTTCATGGCCTTTTTTGACACAGTGCTTCTCTTCTCTATAAATTTCACGGTTGTTCTTATGTCTGCCCATTTTTTTGGTTTTCTGTTACCGAAACAGCAGCGAGAATGCCGTGCAAGCGGTATTTGATGAGATGGATGACAAACCGCGTTCCCATGGGTTAATGCCTATTTACTAGTGTATGCGTTGTTCGAGCTGCTTTGATTCTTTTTTTACATCTTTTTTATGCTGCGGGTTTCTTTGGTAACATAGGTGCACCATTAAATCTAGGTTTTACGAAAGGTTTACCGCAGGTTCTACTCATTTTAGCGAATTTACCGTTCCTTTTGGTCAATTTTTATCCTGTGTCAGAGGGGAAATCAACCGCTGTTGAGCCTTAACGCTTCGAAATTGTGCAGTTCTCTTGCTTCAGTTGGTCAAACGCCGCACGATACAATTTTTAGCCTACTCGTGTGCTCTTTGAGCCAGGATTTCTTGCGTAGGATTTCTTTCGTTTGTTGTTGTATGCTATCGCGATTTAGAACCGATTGCTTTCCTTTCAACGAAAGTGATCTCTTATTTTTTTCAGATCACAAAATGGGTGTTCTACACACCTTAGACCTGGAAAATTTCAAATCATATAAAGGAAAACAGGTGATAGGTCCTTTCAAAAGGTTCACAGCAATTATCGGACCAAATGGATCAGGTGTGTTCATTTTGGTTCGAATCAAGTCCTAAATGTCAAGACCACTTATCATAATGTTTTTGTCTTCTCTAGGAAAATCAAACTTGATGGATGCAATAAGTTTCGTGTTAGGAGAAAAGGCTACGAGTCTGCGTGTGAAGAAGTTAGGTGTAAGTCACATCTGCTTAGAAATGGAGCAATTTATGTGTCACACTTGTAGTTGTCCACTTTGATTGCTAACAAACTTGAAGGTTACCAATATAGCGCAATTTCTCAGGATCTCATTCATGGAGCGCCGATAGGGAAGCCGGTTTCGAATCGCTGTTCAGTGACTTTGAACTATAAAGAGAATTCTGGACGTATGAGAAGCTTCACTCGATCAGTCACTAATGCCGGTTCAGAATTTCGTGTTGATGGAAAGGTAATTTCTAGCTTGATCCTGTTTTGAGGAGTTTGGCAAAGTAATTGGTATAGTATGCGATTTCTGATTTGTAGGAAGTTTCAGAAGTAGAGATACGTTCCCAGTTTCATTGCTCGCCCAAGAAATGCCCTAACATTCCTTTGACTGTATGCTTAGTTTCTAAATTTCAATGAATCCATCTTATCTGCATTCTGAAAGTTTATTTCCACCTAAACTTGTTGTTCAACGTCTGATTGAAACGAATTACAGAAGTAATCTCGGGAAAGTACGGAGGTACTTCTGAAAAGACCCTAACTCACAGACTATGTTTACAGGTGGTATCAGTACAACAATATAATCACGAAATGGAATCCATTCAAATATTCATTAAAGCGAAAAATTTCCTCGTCTACCAGGTATGAAACATACCTCACTGTTGGTGTTATTTTCAATATTGTTACCCTTTTGTTCCTTTCCCTCAAATAAATTAATTTCTAGGGTCAAATTGAATCCATCGCTATGAAAAATCCTAAAGAACGAACTGCACTGTTTGAAGAAATTTCCAGGTGTGTTCTTATGCCCATAACTTTCCTCCTACTTGTCTGCATTGCTTTTCTTTCGAACCAACTCAGACTTCTTTTCGCTCCTAATACGGACTTGGTACAACTTCTTATATTGTTACGTTGTAGCCTTTTCTGGCTCGAGTCCCCTCTCTCTTTTCCTTCTTTCTTTTAATTCAAAGCTGAGCAGTTTCATTACCGCATTCTTCCTTGCTAGCTTCCGAAAGTTCTGATGATTTTTTGTTCAGGTCTTGTGAGCTTCAGCCTGAGTATGATCGTTTGAAGTTAGAGTTGCAAAAAGCTGAAGAAGATGCTCAGCAAAATATGCACAAGCGTCGTGGTATTGCCCAGGAGAAAAGGGAGGCAAAACTGGAAAGGGATGAGGCGGAAAAATACCAGCACATGAAGGATGATTTGGTATAACGTTTGATTTGTTGTTTGCAAACAGCGCAATTAAGTCAACTGCCCTTTCACCTCATTCGGTTATTTCCAGGCTGCTAAACAGCGACAGCTTTACCTTCTTGAATTGTTCTATTGCGAACGATACGGGAAGGAAGCGCAAGAAGATCTGGCAAGCAGAAAAAAGTTGGTGGCAGAACTCGAGAATAAAAAGGTAAGTGGTGTCTGTCCTAGTTCCCTTGTTCATCTTTTCTCTGTACCATTTTTGGTGAAATTCGGTTTCACATTACTCTTCATGGCAGTTCGAGTTCTTCCTAATCTCGCTCAAACCCGGCTCTTTTATTTTAATGTCTTATAGTAAAAATCTGCTTCAGAACGAAATTGATGAGTCTGTGAGCGAGAAGCACAAGCTGGTCAAGAAATCGCAGCGAGATAGCCATAAACTAGAGAAAGAAATTGCTGACAAGGTAGGATTAATAGTCGTTTGTCATCTTCGAGAAGTTCAAAAGAAATCTAACCATTTTCAGGAAAAAGAAATCGCTCATGAACGTCCGCTGTATGTTCAAGTAAAGCAGGAGGTCCTTCATGTGAAGTCAAAGCTGGAAACCTGTAACAAAACATTGAACGCCGCGCAGAAACTCGCTGAACGCAACGAGGAGCAAGTGCAGGCAATGGAGAAAGCTGCGAAGTACGTGAATAGAACAGTAAATACCAATTTTTACTTTTTCTTTTCGTCATTCTTTCCAATTTTTCCTTCCTTGGTTTTGCACAGAGCATTCGGTTGTCTCATGAGAGATTGCATTTGTAGAGAGTTGGAGAGGAAGAAGGCAGAGTGTGAGGCAGAACTCGAGTCGCAAAGTCAGGAGCTTGATCTACATTTGAACGAAGAGCAGGTTTGAGATTCCTTTCTCACTTTTCATTACAGCTTTTGCATTAAGAAATGTAATTGGTTGTTATTGAGTTTCTGATATATTAATTTTGTTGCGAAAATTCATTTCTCATGAGTAGATTGTTTAGATAAACGAGTATGTGAGACTGAAGCGTGAGGCTGCTAAAAGGTCAGGCTTAATGGATATGCAGCTCAATTCGATGAGACAAGAACACGAAACGGATCGGAGGTATTTATTTGTAGGATATTCGTTGCTATGAATACTAATAGGTTTACAATTCATGCTTGTACACAATCGAGCGATCATTTTTGCACTTTGAACGCTTTCCAACATCCAATCATCGGCTATCTGGCACTTGTTTTAGCTCTAAAGTGAACGAAGAGCGTCGCATGAAAGCCTGGCAAGAGAAGATCAAAAACAAAAAACAGGAAATTGAGCGACTGAAGAAGCAGGTTAGTCCCTGTGGTGAATATGCCGCTCTCTTTCACTGTTCGTTGTCAGATGGATTTTTCTCTGGTACTTTTGGCCAATGCGTATAAAACGTAATAGACCAAAATTTTTATAAAAGTTAGTTGGAATCCAGCGCAGACTTCCCTTTTCAATATTGTTTCCCAAGGTTGGCTTCATCTCTGCGTTGGCTATCTTCATCATATTCTTCTCCATCCAGTTAGATTTAAACTTGCTACTAGTATCGATTTTTGCTCTTTTCGTTTTGCTACCCAACCTTTGTTTTTCTACTCTCTCCAGTCCACGGTAAAGCTTCCACCGTTTTCTTCTTCACGCTGGGCCTTGAAGTGTCGTTAGTTCTTCTTTCTATTTCGTTCTCATATTTGGGGAACTTCCCAATATCCACGTCAGCAATGTGCTTAAACCACTGAGGCTTCTTGCATTTGTATATCAGTAAGAATGAAGGAGCGTAGAAAAAGCTGAAACTACTTCCATGTTCGCCTTTCCTTGAACCTGGGCATCTGTACTATGAATAGTCAATTCTTCTATGCCATACAGGTTGTTAATGGTGAAATCTTTATTGCCTGACGTTTCGACAAAATCGTCTTTTTCAAAGGCCTGAAAGCGTATCGTAACTTTAAAGTGTTACCTATCACGTTTGACGTAGACCAGCTCTTAACTAGTTGCAACTCAGGCCGATGAACTACCAACTTAGGAGAAATTTCAACAAGCCACTTACGTCA